AAGGCTGGCGCAGAAATTGAAAAAAAGTGGACCGCCAAAGGCAAGAGGCAAGAAAGGAAAGAGCAAAAGATATATGAAGATAACGAGCGAAGGCCCAGAACACTGAACAGATAGCAGAGAGACGCACTGGGCCGCGGTAAAAGGCTCCAAGACGTGGCAGTTGACTCACGCACACAAATGCGCGGAATAGAACAAGGAGAACATGTACAACAGCGGCACATCGCCGTTGTCTTACCTATACATAAAAGCGAGAGCCAAGGAAAGCAAGTGCACAAACAGGTACTGACAAAATGGAAAAACAGAAGAACATGTAAAATATGATACATTCATTCGCCATTGGTTTAGGCAAGTGTTTTGCCCATAAAAAAAACCTGCATGTTCTTCTTTTTTTTCTTTTTGTTCGTTCTTAAATCAATTTTTCTCCTATTGTTTTTTCGTCCCCCTTGTATTATTTGTGTTTGTGTTTGTGTTTAAGAATTCAATGCACACACACAAGCAACACCACGCTTTATCCAATGCTTGGGATCAACTGTAGTGGGTATTTCCATCGTGAGGACGTAGTTTGTTGAGTGGCCCGTGGTACTCAGCGTACCAGCACGTCGCAGTGTCTTGTAAAGAGGGCACACGTACACATCATCTTTTGGCTTCTCTTTGTTGATAATGGGATTGAGCCACAACATGGGGACGCTTTCAAACAGCACCTTGGGCATGGACTCCGCGAGTTGTAGTGTAGTCCCGTCAATCCGTGCACCTTCAATAAATATGCCGTACACGTAGCAACCCGTTTTCGGGGGCGCAGTTACCGTGGCAGGATCCGTGTTTATCCATTCAAATCCGTAACTTACGGTGTCAATGGAAATCTGCTTCTTACGGGCAAAATTTTGCAGAATACCCGTCAAGAAGGCCTGTGGGAAGAAGAAGCCAGATATCCAGTATACATTGGGGTGCCCACCCTCATACCATGCTTGGATCTTTGCCAAGCGTTGCATCAAGTCATCCACCCAGGATCCAAGCGGCTTAAGACTTGGATAGGCTCGCTCCGACCACTGCCCAGGCACCTGGTTGTTGTACAGGCAGTGATACACCTCCTCCAGCTCCCGGTTCATCAATACTTCGCCCTTAATAGCGAGGGGAAGTGCCTCCAGTGTTTCTCGCACCACCACCGTAAGACGATTGAATCGAATGGCCTCCTGCACGAGTACTGTGTTCATAGAATCCTCATACCGCGTAGGATATTTCTTGTGAAACTGTACAATGTTAAATGGATCGCTCAATTTGCTCCTAATGAGTTCAGCGAGCTCCACAACGACTTCATCCGGGGACTTCCCCAGGGCATTCTTTCGTGTTGCCTCACCTTGCAAGGCAACGATGGCATCCAACGTTTCAAACGTCTCATTGCGCGCACACGTGATGTCCGCGTTTTCGTGCAAGCCAAAAATCTCAGGATTTGTATTGAGCGGCCAAGACCCAATGTACTCCAAATAATCCTTCTGCGACCCAGCGGGGATAGAGCGGTAGGTGCCAGACGGAGAGAAACTGTAGCCATCCTGCATCACCTCAGGACAGACAAACACCTCTAATAGCGTGTTTAGGGTTCGCCGATCCCAATCGTCCGTGACACGACCACCGTAGTGAATATTGCCGCTCAGCTCCTTGATGACCTTGTATGGAACCTCGGCATACTTTTCCAAAAACATGCGGATCTGCGTGATGCAGCATCCTAAATCTCCCGAGGTGTATTCATAGGGTATATTCCACCCAAGTGGACCAAACTTACGACGTTCCTGAACGAGAGCATGAAAAAAGGCCATTGCAAAAAACAATTTCTTAAACTCCTTCGGCTTGCAACAGGTATCCAGATACTCGCTGCGGTAACTTGAGACAGAGCGTGTGACATTGGCCTGCATACCTTTGGGCGGTTCATTTGTGATTTTAACACCATTTTGCAGCACAGAGACAGGGAAGTGTGGGTTCGGCATGGACGTAAGCCACAGTCGAAATGCGGGGTGAATTCCAGGGCTCATCGCCTCCACCAGTCGTTCCAAGGTTGGCATCCATGACGTCGCCAAGTGACAGTTTTGTAAGAGAACCCAGGTACCATTTTCCATGCCTTCCTGTAACATACGTTCAGCACGAGGACCTTGTCCTTGCCCGAGGGAGATGTCAGAAAGTTTCTTGCCCATGTTTTGCATCTCGGCAAACTTTTTCCAGTCTTCAAAGGGATCTGCACCTTGAGAAAGGATAAAGATGAGTGGCGCCATGGGGTTTGATTCCTTAAATGATGTTAGAAGATCAAACGGGGGTGGACGAATAAAACGTTCCCCCAAATTCTCCTTGACAAAATCTTGAACCGCCTCCATCAATTTATCTGGCCGAAGACAACGCAGGAACATCATACGCTCAATGGGGGTAAGCCGTTCCGCGTACACGCCTTTTAGCTTTTCTGTATGGGCTGTAGGAGACATGAAGATTTTGCGGTAGTGCTCCAAGTTGGCGGCGAGGTGCGTGGAAAATCCCTTGAAGGAGACGAAATTAACTGCGAGGTAACAGATATCGGCCCAGGTTGACTCAGTAAGCCAAGACGGCGCTGGATTAGGATGCGTTTTGGAGCTCATGGAAGACCCTTGCAGGAGAAAACGAAATTCATCCTCGTCAATGGCGCCCGCCTGTTGTAAAATGCGTACGCAAAGAAAGAAGGAGAACATGATTTTATGCTTCTCAAAGAGCGAGCGACTGATGTTTTGGTAAAAACTGTACGTGAAGTAATCCATCAGGTTCCGCAGCCGCGTTTCCAGGACCTCCGATTCTTCTGCGGACTCGATGCCGTTGATAAAAAGCCGCACAAACCACTGTAGGGAGTATTGATACATGGGATCCACATTAGCCAGCGTTGCACAGCAAAAGAACAAGCATGAAGAGTGACGTGACACAGGACGGTACAACTCTCGACTTGCGTTAATTTCCACCTCTGCCTCTTCCGCCTCTTCCACCTTGATCTTAATTTCATCGGTAGTGGTCTTCGACTGATTCAGGTATTGAATGAGGCTCTCATCATCTAAAATATCACCAGTAACCTCCTCCATTTTACGCAAAATAGTCTTCTGAATGCTGGCCACCTCGGCACGCATTGCGGCATTGCCTTTAATTAACTCACTCCGTCGCATTTCCAGCTCCTTGCGTTCCTGCCCCACGACAACGCCAAGAAGTTGATCCTCGAGCCCCTGCGGAGTAATAAAAAAGTTCAGTAGTGTGACTTGTACCATGACCTCAGGAATGTAGTGCGGGTTCGGCAGCTTGGTAGTCATGTAAAACTTAAAATCTGGATTCCACGGAATGGGATGCTCTGACAGACGGATCATCTCTTGTCCACCTTGTGTAAAGGTCTGCTTGGCAAGCAGCGGAGCAAGACTGGCATCAATGCCCTCACCAACGTTCTCCAAAAGCACAGCTCGACCCGAGCGAACACCGTACTCGATACGCTTGATTAAATCTTTCTGACTTGGCTTCAAGATCTCAATCCCCTCACCAAAGGTTTGCCGAATCCACTTGTTTGCTTGCGTCTGTGGGTCAATCATAAGCGGCCAACGGCGTGCATTCTTCATAATAATGGCATTTTCCACCGATAACACATCCGTGGGAAGTCCATTGACATTCCACCCCTGAGTGACGATGGGATCCTGCAAGGTGTGGTACACGGAAAGCTGCGCATGATGCAGGATACTGTGATTTTTTAACTCAGCCTCCCAGGTCCGCAGTAGATCACTTCGGTATGAGGCGGTGAAGGGTCCCACGTACGCGATTTGTCCTGCCGCCGCAATCATGTCGCCTAGGAGAAACTTGGAATTCTCATCGATCTCTTGCAGCGTGCTAGTCCAATTCTTCTTTTCACCGGCCAGTCCATCAATGAGCATAGACGCTCGCCCAAGTCTGATCTCTGTAAGCTCCACCACACGTTCCAGTTCCTTCATTTCTTCCTCCGCTCGCGTCTTGTTAGTTTGTAATTCCTCTAACTTTTTCGCAACCTCTTCCAGTCGAGCCTGCGCCATGCGAAGTTTCTCTTGAAAGACGCGGTTGTCTTCTTGAGCCACAGCCAGCCGCTGCCGCAGTGGCTCCACCTTCTTGTTTACCTCATGAAATTTCACCATGGCATGGGTCCACTGACACATCGCCGCACACGCCTGACTGGCACCGGCAATTTTCTTTGGCGTAAAGTCTTCAGAGGAGACCAACGGTCTGACGGCTTGAATAAGTCGCTCAGGGATATGCTCCTTGTCGTAGTTCATCAAGCGTTGCATCAAAAGATTGGGGTTATTCAGCAACTGCTCCTTGGCCGTGGCCCAGTAGTCTGGCTTCTTCTCCTCCATAGGCCCTGCGGCACGCATGACGGGTTTCAGTTGAAAAAGAATACTGATCCCCTGCACGGTCATCACCACACCGGGCGTGGGTGCCTTGTAACCAGCCACCTCCGTAATCTGGGACGACTTCAAATTTGCCAAGCTAGCCAAGGCTCGATCCAATTCGGGCAATGCCTCACTAAGTTGCTCTTGTGCCTCAGCCTCAATGGCGGCGCACTCACGCTGCTTGGCTGCCACCGCCGCCTCCTCGGTTTGAGCCTCCCGTTTTGTTTCTTCCGCAGACTCTGTTTGAACGACAATCTCCTCCACAAGTTTCTTGATGGATTCCCCTTTTTGAATCAAAATCGGCTGATTCTTCTCCAGGGTCTTCCGAAGCTCGACCACCGCATTCTCCGTCTCACGCAGCTTTGTCAAACCATTTTTCAAGCGATGCGTCGTATGGTTCGCCGTCTCTGTCTCGGACTCGAGGAGCCGGCTAACGGTGTGGAGCAGCTCCAAAAAGGAGGTGGGCGTCACGTAGTTGTGGCGCCGCGTTTCCTCGAGGAAGCGGACGGAGATTTCCTCTACGCTTTCGTGAATTGTGACGCACAAATCCGTGCACTTTTCCACATCCTCCGCCGCAACTAACTTGAGGTTCGAAAAGTAATTTTGCGCCACACTCCGCAATGCCTGCGTTGGCCACGCCGTGAACCAGTCAATCGTGCAGCAGTTGACCAGGGCGGGAAACATGCGGAGTCGATTCCGAAAAGGTTCCCCAAGGGGCGACATGCAAAGCGAGACATGCAAGTTGGACTTACAAAACTTAACAAATCGGGCATACATTCCCACCTTATCTAGCTGAATGCCCTCGGCAATGCACACAGGCTTCATGGCGTTGAAGACCTCGTCCAGATCAGGCCCCACAAAGAGGTTTGGCACCTCGCCCAAGTTGAGAAGATTGTTGACGTCCTCCAGCATGGACTCATTCACAATTTGCGTGTCGGTAAAGAGGAACATCACCTGCTTGTTATGAAACGCCACACGTTGAAGGGCCGACTTGACATCATCGCGCCAGGTATTCATAGAGTAATTTTTCGAGATCTCCACCTGAAACACCTCAAACTCGTTAAGAAAGGCGGCGACACGGGAGAGCGACTGCCGTCCAGAACCCCCCACACCCAGAAGAAGCACGTGCCCCTTTGGCTTTCGAATAACACGTGCAATCCTACAAACGTGTTCCACGGCGTAGGCAAACATTACAAGGTTCATCTTGTGGAAGGAAACACTGTTGTACTCCGCCAATCTAGCTTCCAGTACCTTGACAAGTTGCTGAGGGTCCCGCACTTCCTCGTAGAGGTGCTGATCCGATTTGATGTCGAGAAAGTCGACAAATAAGAGACCATCGGTGCCTTTTTCAGGCGGCACAACCTCCGAGAAGGCGACCCGGGTGTGCCGCTCAAGCTCTCGCTGCATCAGCTCATCAAACCACTCTCTGTCCTCAACGGTGGTAAGGCGATCTCGAAACGTGCGCATTTCCTCGTGTACCCATAATCGGAGAAGGGCAACAGGGCTGGTCGTCAGCTTTGGTGTGGCTTTGAGCAGTCCACTCATCACATTGGCAAGGTCACGTAGGTTGAAGAGGTAATGCGGCCGCGAAGGGGTAGGTCGAAGCTCCTTCGTGACTGTGCAGAAAACGCCAATGGATGCATTCACAACAGAAGAAAGTTTGCCGCGTACTTCTTCGTTAAAGGGCTTAAAATAACTTTCTAGAATAGAGACAAAAATGCGCCGCATGCTGTCCTCATCCATTTCTGGAAATGCGATTTGGTTAAAGTGGCGAAGAAAGCGTTGACTGACATACGTCCTGCCACCACCAGGTGGGCCCATCGCGCCTGTGAAGACGACATCCACAATTTGAAAGAACTCGCGCGTCTTGCGGTCATACCAGCCATGATAATCCATGTATTGCCTCAGAATCTCAATGGGCGGCTGGGCCCCGAACTGCTCCTTCGCCGGCATATTCATATCGTCAATGAGAATGGCAAATTTTTTGTTCACCGGGGGACCCCATATCTGCGGAGCAGCACGACGTCGAGCCTCAAACTTGGAGAAAATAAGATCCTGCGTCTGATTCGCACTTGTACGGGCGGAGAAGGTGAAGAAAATTGGCGTAAACTCCTTTGGCATCTCATTCATGAGTAGCTGCTGTAGCAGGACCGTCTTGCCAGTGCCAGTGGGACCACAGCAGAGGGTGTGGAAGGACTTCTGCAGAAGAAGTTTGTTGATGAATTTGTACCGTGCGACGTCGGCAGTAGGAACAATGACGTCGGCAATGTTTACCGCCGTGACCTGCGCGGTAAAGGCTGGAAGACGATCGGTCCACAGCACCCACCGAGCCTCATCCACCACATATTCATATTCTTGAATACAGCCAATGTGTGGAAGTTTAATGGGCACCTCAAGGTTGTCTAGCTGTGTCCGAAGGAATTGGTCAAAGCGTTGTCGACTGTCCATGTCGCCCGTGGCACCAAAGGACCACACAACGGCGAAGATAAAGAGATGCATATGCGCCTCTTTAAGTCGCTCCAACCTTTCTTGCGGCACCTCCGTCGCTCGCGTGGGTGTAAAGGGGATCAGCAAAGCCTCAAAAATGTTAAAGCATGAGACAACTAAGTTGGGCCACACGGAGGGACTGTACTCCACCACATCCTGCTGAACAAATTCAATGAGAGCAGGGAATAGAACCAAGCATAACTTGTCTAGAGCCTCCATGTACGGTTCCATCGTGCTAGGGAGGCGATGCCGCCGCCAAGTTGTGATGAGCGCCTCCACTCCGACACAGCTTGCAGGTTCCATGTAAATCATACCCGCACGAGACACCGTGGCTGGAGACGCCACTGCGAGATCTTCCACTTCAAACCAGCAGCTCATGTATGGCGTCATGGCAATAATTTCACCAGAGATGAGACAGAGTTTCTTGTTATCGTCAAGCACCGTGTTCATAGATTCAATCCACAAGGCATCTACAGGGCCATCAAAGTAAATCCACTGCTTGCTGTCAGAGACGTCGCGGGCGGCGAGACGAAATAGTTCCCCAATAAGACCATCACGCCACTCACCCGTTGCATCGTCAAAGCCACCGTATAACTGCGCCATTGTAATAGACTTGGGATTCAACGCATGTATGTGCACCTCCGAAAACCGTTCCTCATTCAGATCAACCCGAAGTTTTGTCATCGCCGCCTGAAGCACACGAGCAGCAGATGTCTTCCCTCCCATTGTGGGGCCAACAATCATCTGACCATGTCGAAGAATGTTCATTTCAAACAGCTGCACACACTTCTTTACAAACATTTCTGTAGGCTCCAAGTGCAGCTCCAACGCCTTTTCCCGGAGGACGCCTAGCAGGGAGCCGTAGTCCCGTGGGGGCATCTCCACACCAGGAAAGAGATCCGAGATGATACCAGAGAAAAGTAGCAAGTCCTCCTCCAAAAACTTGGGCATGTTGGAATCGCGTAGAGCACGAAGCAAAAGGACATCCTCCTCCTCATCCGGAGACTCACGCTTCATGAGACCGGCAGCAGAAATAACCGTATTCACAGCACGCATACCAAAGTCATAATGGTCTTGCGAAGATAACTGCTCGGAGCTTAACCGGAAGGTTGCCACCATCTTCTGCGCCAAGGTTCGCGAGTTCGAGTAACCAAAGGAGAAGAGACGAATCTCGGCAATCATGGCGTAATCCGGCACCATACAGGCAACAGGACGGAAGAGTACTTTTAAGTTATCTGGCAATTCTGTGCGTCCCGCGTAACCAGGGTTCATCGTGATGAACACCGAATAGGAGGGGTCTACAATAACCTCTGTACCTTCAAATGGAATACGATACTGTTTGCTGCGTGCAGCTTCCTGCAAAGTTGACACCTGCTGTGCCACCACAGACAAAACCTCCACATCAATACGGTTAAATTCATCAAAGCACGCCCATGCACCTGCCTGGGCAAGACCTTTAAAAAATTTTCCCATTGACGCGTACGTCATACCTTCTTGACAGTTAAAGACAACACACTGCTTCGCTGCAGCCTTGGCCAAGTCTTTCACTGTTTCCGTTTTGCCAGTACCGGCTGGACCCGCTGGGGCGCCGCCAAGGAACATGTGCATCGCCCCTGTAAGCGTCAAATAAATACGGTCTGTTAGCGGTGTCACAACAAGGCGTGTTGTGTTTCCAAGGTACTCCCCACCGTACTGAAATTGTGCCTCCACCTGGCGCAAGTAGCAGTCATTATTTTCCCAGTATGACCGAAGCTGTGAAATCCATTCAAAGGCGAAAATACTATCAATCTTTTCTTCGGCAAGGTGTTCGACGATGTCCCTGGCGTGTACTTCAATTGTAATAAGACCACTGAGATTCATACGTTGCAGATTCGAGAGAGGTTGCCGCACCAATTCCACAAGTTCCATTAAATTGGCTTTCGCCTTGGGAACATGTGGCTCCAATGAGCCGTGTTCCTTCAGGTTTTCCTCACAGTCATGTGTCCACATAATTTGATTGACGGCTATCGCTACCTGACCCGGGGCGTTGAGGAGAAAGTGTTTTCGTCCCTTTTCAACGCAGTCCTTCAGGCCCTGCGAGAGCTGAGAACGAATCGAAATTCGCATCATACTTTCAATATCGGTCAGCCAATTTTCAATGTTCTTGCGGGGAAGAATGGAGTTATCAAAGGGAATATACTCCCGCATCTGTGAGTACATGCCATACATCTCATTGCTTGGACCCCGCATATCAATCTCCATGATGTTCTCGAACAATTTGCGAAAGTGTGGCTGAATGTTCCTCGGATCACGCGCCTCAGACAATATTGTGAGGAGCTCATCGTCGGAGAGGAAGTAAAAGCGTGCAAAGGAGGAGCGCTTGCTCTCCAGGTACTGATTTAATCCACGTTGAATGAGTTCCAAGAGGTCATTGTTTTCCTTGAACTTTGCAAGCGATTCCGCAATCTCACAAAAGTTCAGGGCCAAACCAATTTCATGCGCCTTGTTCGTGAGATAATGCCAGTTTTCATGCACTTTTTGGAACCGCTTTGCCTCACGAGGCAGCTGACGGACGATGTCCTCCGACTGGAAGATGGGCTCTAAATACAGCCAGGCCTTCTGACAAACAAGCCACTCATCCATCACAGCTTGTACGCTCCGCAGGGAATTTTCCCAGGCCAAAATGTCGTTTTCAAACAACTTCTTGAATGGAGAGAAGCCAAGCGACTGGGTAATGAGCATCTGATCATCCAGTTTCTCTTGTATTGCATCGACAGAATCCTTTGGCAGCAAGTAGCACCCCGTTGCTTTGTAGGCCTGAACGCCGAGTTGAATGCTTTCCCACTCCGCTTTCATCTTCTTGAGGGAGGTCTCAATTTGGTACTCACGCGCCGCCACCTCTGAGATTCGCAGCAAGATCTCCTCATATTCACTCACCTTCAGTGTGTTGAGGTCATTAAGTGAGAGGAGCGTCTTGCCAGGACGGATCTCGTGACCGACCTCCTTTGAGATTTGATCCCAGTGACGCCCCTTCAGCCCTTCTGTGCGCAGGTACTTGATAAACGGCAGCATGGGCTTGAACTCTTCAATCCTTGCCTTGGTTTTTTGAGCAATGTCAGTGAGAATCTCCGTGAGCTTTGGGTCACGACTGCTTTTAGAGACCGCATGATAGTTCTTTAGCACGCGCTGCTCTATCTCCTCCGCGTCGATCTCGGCAAACGGCTTGTCATACCAATCACGCATGGCCGTGTTCCAGTCATAAACCGAAAGCCAAAGAGAGGCGTAGGAGTCAAAGTCAGAAGCGAGCTCACGTACTGCGCTGTAATCGGTTGTTTCAAGCGCAAAGAGAGACTCGTGTGTGTTGAAGGTGTTGGCCGTCTCAATAAGGCCCTTAATGTGCTCCTGTATAGCATGCACGTCTGCAACAATCTCGTTAATTTTATTGACGTTGGCGCGACGATGAAACCCGCCCACGGTGAGTTGCATCTGGGCAACCTTGTCCTGAAACGCCTCCTGTGACTTGCGCAGACTGACAATAAGGCTACGCTTCGTCTGCTCCAATTCATTATTTCGCTGAATGACCTCGTCATCTAGCTGCGCGGGCCAACCAATAGCCATCCACTTTCTGTTGAAGTCATCCTCCGAGAGCGGCACCTGAAAGGCGTCCAGTACTGTGTAGATCTCCTGTATCTCATCTATAATCGCCTGCAGATCAAACACCTTTTCGGGAATCGTGCGAATAAACTCGTTTCGCTCCACGACCTCCTCGGGTGTTTCTGTCGGCTTTATGAGAGCTTCGCGCAGGGCCCGAAATTGGTCGTTTATTTCCGACGCCTTCGTATTCGCCCGGAACAGGACCACGTCAAGGAGGCCGTTGGAAATCTGGGTGCACTTGCCCTCCAGCCGCCGTCGGAGATCCGTGCAGTCAACCTGAAATAGACCGAGGTTTACAAAGCGAGGAATGCGTGCCCCAATGTCGGCCCGCTGGTTAATGTAACGCTGAATCTCAGCCTCCACCCCCTTGATGGAGGTAAACTGCTCCCTGAAAGACTGCAAGTACTGCGGCACATCCAGTGCGACAAGCTCTTCAAATTCGCCGTACTTTGCAATGTATTCATCAAGAGGTATTCCGGCACGCGCGAGCGTGCTGGAGAGGCGCCCTAGGCAGTTCTGCACAGCCGGGTCTTCCCCATCAAGGGAGGGCACAAATGCTGTGCTAGGGTCATACAGAAAGGTAAACAGCTGCCGCTCAACAGAACGTACCCCTGTGTGCAGTGACAAACAACGATTAATAAGCTCCAGCAACATCTTGGAAAAGTCGGAGGCAGTGGTAGTATACATGAGAGTCCGTGAATCCCCATCCACGAGCGTGAGTTTGAAAAGTGGTGTAATCCTCATATTTTCTTGACTCTGATGCGGAACAGCCTCCACATCGGAAATGCCTCGCACATGAACGGTGTAGTTGGCTGTTGTTTCAAGGAAGGAGGCAACTTCATCCAACGTCCGCGTTAAAAGAGTTCGTAGGGCGTCCTGCATTTGCACAGTGATGGTAGACATGAGACGTTGTGTCTTGGACCCCGCGTATGCGCTCTCGGGAAGCTGCAAACTCACTTCTCCAACCTCGACGCAAGGAGAAAAGGCATTTTTGACGTATGCTGTAATGCCAGGAACCCACTTCTCGCGCATAAACTGGGCATTCTCGCGGATGCACCCAATCTGCGTCTCCTCAAACGCATCCATGGTCATGGGGCAAACCTCGTCCAGCGCCTGGCCAAGACGGAATATCTTTCGAGACAACAAGGCCTCGTTCCCTTCCCGCACCCGCTGAAGGACGCCAACGGTGATGGGGTTACAGGCAAAGAATGAACCCTTATAGAGCGCTTTCACCACATCCAAAAAACGGTTTTCACGCAACCTGTGCACACCACACTCTCGGGGCTTCGCCGCTGGCTTCTCTGGTGGGAGACTTGATCCATTGAGCAGCTGCATCAGCGCGCCATTTTTTGTCATTTGCTTCATCAACGCCAAGTTCATGACACGGGAGTAGTCACTTCTAACCTCATCCAACAGCTTGTTCACCGTGAGGGTGGCCTCATTTTCTTTTAGCTTGGGCGTGTTAAGACTCATCTTATGCACACGTTCTAATACCAGAGGATCAATTGCCTGGTACTCATCTGGTGGAATGGACTCCACGTACAGCTGCTGACGGAGCATATTCTCCATCAGTTTCCGCAAAGAGAAGGCTTCTGCAAAACGTTCCACGAAATTCCGTGGGTTTTCGGCGTCAAAACATACATACAAGCGTGGAAGCGTCACCACCGCCCCGCCCCCCTTTTGGGAACTATTCAGTTCATTGCCATCCTCGTCGACGCCAATCAGTTCCACGGTTAGTGCGTTGGCTTTTGCATCCCAGTCAGTGAGAAGCGCTGGCAACCAGCGCCATTTTCCTGCGTTGCGCAGCGCCCTGCACGGGACCCTACCCGACCCATCATGTTTGGCTAACCAATCCTCCGGCGACAACTCCTCGTAGCGTCTGTCATCAAAAGCCTGGAGAGGCAACAAGGAGTGGTAGGACCCCGGCATGTCAGCTGCAAACTCGCCGTCCACAATGATGTTCTTTTCCTTCAGCAGTGTCTCCACTGAGAGCTCATCGTACCGACGTCTCCATCGCCGCATCACTTCTACACGCGGCAGAGCACCTTTAAGGTCCTCGCGTGGCACCATGACTTTGGGCTCCTTGCCGACGGGCACCTCCTCCCCCACGGTGTACCGTCCCACGACTGGCTGGGACCAAGGATGCAGGCGAGGGGTCGGCGCTGTCGCGGGCTCCTCCTGCAGCCAAGGAGGCAGCTGTTGGTCACCCGAGTCGCCGCCGTCGCTTCCATCCCACTCATTTACGGGGCTTCCCTCGCGTTCCGTCGCATGCCCAGCCGCAGGTGGAGCAGGAAATTGTGAAGCGGCTCCAGCACTCCGATCCCTTCGCCCCGACGGTGGCTGCGGTTGCAGTCGCGGTTGTTGTCGTTGTTGCTGCTGCTGTTGCTGCTGCTGTGCCAGATGCACGCGACGAAGCGCAACAAGCTCCTTAAAAGAAATGGACATGCGCAGTGCCAGGATGTCGTTACTAAGGCCTACCGCGGAGTTCTGCTTAAGAGCGACGAGAAGCAAAGCCAAGGAAGAAGAAAAGAAAGAAAAAAACAGCGAGAGGCTATGACCATACAACACCACTTTACGAGGAATGGCCAATGAAGTGCAACCTCGGTCAACTTCAAACACGCCTCAGGGCTTCATCCCACCTGTGGTTCATACCAAAAAAAGAAAAGAAACGAACAAACTACACCCACCAACCAAAAGTAAATGGGAGCATGAAAATAAAAAGGAAGACGCGCAATCCATATCGTTCTCATACGGAGGCCAATTACTTTGTGCGGGACACACCGACCGTCTTTCCGTGGCGACCCGACGTGCAGGTGTGCTGGCCACGGACGCGGAGACCGTAGGCGTGGCGCACACCACGATGCACGCGGTTCTTCCTCAGGCGCTCCAGGTCCTCACGGAGGCGCGTGTCAACCATGGCACTGGTGAGGTGCTCCGTCTTGCCGGTCTTGGGGTCACGCTGGCGGTTGAGGAACCAGTCGGGGATCTTGAACTTGGACGGGTCGGCGATGACCTCGGAGATCTTCTCGAGCTCCTCGGCCGTCAGAGTGCCGGCGCGGCGCTCCACGTCGATGCCTGCCTTCTTGCACACCATGTACGCAAAGCGAATACCAAGGCCCTTCACCATGCGGAGCGCAAAGGGCACCTTGCGCTTGCCCTCCACATTGGTGTTCAGGAGACGCACAATGTGCTGGAAGTT